TCCCAAGCACCCACGGCAGCTTTAGATGGTCAGAGGGAGAAAGCGAGACAGTTAAGAGAGTTAAACTGCCCCAAAGGTAACTCCTTGTCAGTTAGGTTCAGAAGCAACACACCTCTGATCCATCACCTTGTCTTAGAAAGTTGTTCCGATCATGTTTTTACCTGAATTAGAATACCAGGCTAGTAATGGGAAACTGTGCCTGGAAACCCCAACAGCTCCAGAGGGAGAGCCACCTGTGGGAACCCCCCTGAATTTAGATATAATACCTATGGAATGGACACTTGCGAGTATTTAACTAAATGGGAAAAATCTAACCAAAGATACGTTTTCCCTGAGATGGCCAAAATGGAACCCCTTTGATTTACCTGAATTAATCTACTTGCAAGCTCAATTAGAAAAAGCCTACCATAAAATCCAACAACCAGGTTGGGAGGCCTATTTTAATCAGTACCTGAATGCTTCAAAGTGAGGAAATAAATAAAATGGCTCTATTGCAAGAAACTAATGTTCATAGCAGCACTATTTACAATAGCCAAGACATGGAAACAACCTGAATGTCCATCAACAGATGGCTGGATAAAGATGTGATATAGATATACAATGAAATACTACTCAGCCATAAAAGAGGAATAAAATAATGCCATTTGCAGCAACATGGATGGACCTGGAGATTGTCATTCCAAGTGAAGTAAGCCAGAAAGAGAATGAAAAATGTCGTATGATATCACTTACATGTGGAATCTACCAAAAAAGAGAGACACAAATGAGCTATTTATTATTTATAACTTAGATGATTAATTTCTTGAATATGTGTAAGCACATCTGACTGTCTTTTATGATTGGATTACTGAATTCTGTTGATTCTTATTTTGTGGTTGGCTTTACTCCTTTGATAACTATGTGAGTTTAAAAAGCTAAAGCTCTAAACTGTTCTTAGAAACAATGAACAGTACATATATGTAAAATTTTAAAACATGTGCAGTATATTGTATATATTTATTTACATGCAGTATATTGTATAAGTGCAGTCAAATTGTAACAATTCTACCTAATACAGCTGAAAACTGAAAAAAAAAAGAAACAGACTGAAAATTATTAAAAATGGTGGCTGAATTAGAAAAAGCCTCAGATCCACTGCTTCTCCTCCCACCCTTCTCCTCCCCTCCTTCTCCAGCTTCTTTATTTCTTGTCCCCTCTGAGCTCCCCTGCTCTGATCTTCCTGCTCAACTTCCTCCAGCACTAAGAGAGAAAATGATCGAGTTCAAGGTAGAAAATGAAAGAACCGCCAAGGTAATAGCAGCTCCTTTTAAGGCCACAAGCAGAGGGGAACCTGCCATTATCTACACCCCTTGAATGAGGACATAACTTAGGAATTTACCTAAGGATTTTCCAAGTCCTTTACAAGTTTCTTTAGATTTGGCTAAAGAATTTGATCTTATAGTAAGAACTTAGAAGCCTGGACATTCAGACTTGTACCAGGTCATTCTGCAAAAGAATGGCTCTAAGACATAAATTGAAAGACACCTACAAAGGATTTCCATAAACACGAGCCTACAGGTCAGCAGAAATGGAGGGAAAGCCCACACCTTATGTTAGGCCACCCCTAAATCTTCCCACAGGAAAGGTCCATCAATGCAAACAGGAGAGACAATTTTTGATTATTTGAAATGATGAACAACACTCTGGCCTTGATCCAGAGAACTTCCCGAACCATCAGAACGATCCAGTACTAAAATCCATTATTCTAGAAGGATTAGATGAAGAATTGCCATGACTAGTTAAAAGACAGGAATTTGAGCTACGAAGCATATTAATGCCCCCGCGACAATGGCTGATGAACTTTCCAAAACCTTACAGAAAGGAGAGAGGGGAAGAACTGCCCCCAAATCGGTTTGGCAGCCCTCAAACCCAACCTGCCCAAATGCCAGCCAGGCTTGAAATGACAGCACCTGCTTTTATTGGAAGAGATCTGAACATTTTAAAAGAGATTAGAACCTGGCAAAATTAAGGAGTAGGGGTGCTTTGAGGATTGTGAGAGGGAGTTCCCCTCCTCTTCAGGAACACCCAAGGGGAAGTTGAAATAACAATCGGCGGGGAAACTTCCCAAGTGTCTGACAGTGACCCACCTTGGGCTCCGCCTACCCTTGTAGCTTTCCGTATCAGCTCTTGAGTTTTCTTCAGAGAATTAGTTACAACTTGCCACTTATTTATTTGTTTGTTTGTTTATTGGAAGTGGAGATAATTAGGTTTGTTTGTTTGTTTGTTTGTTTGATGGAGGTCCTGCGGATTGAACCTAGGACCTCGTGCATGCTAAGCATGAGCTCTATGACTGAGCTATATCCTCCCTGCAACAACTCGCCACTTCAAAACAATGATTTTTTTGAATCTCATAGAAGCTGGGATCCTGTAGAAACACCCCCAGCTTAAACTCTGCCATTTCCCCATTTCCACCGACATCACGTGAGGTCTGTCAGTCAGCCCTTTCCAGCCATCAGTCAGGCTGTCTGACAACTCGGTGGGTCCTTCAGATCCCCTCACTTGAGGGAACCCACCGATTATTCACTGCATGGAGGCGGGTAGACTCCTCAAGCCAGAAGAGGCCTTGGCTCACCAGCCTAAAAATGGGGAAAGTGTCAGTGATGCTTAGATTTCCTGCGATGGTTATTTGCAGAAGTGGATAAAAAGTGCCCACACCGTTACTCAGCCAGTTTGTGTTCAATAAACAGAGACGTTTGTGATTATCATTGTTACAAATCTCACTCTATTGCCCGTCATTATTAAAGGAGATGGATGGCCTGGGACTTAAAATGTCTACTGAGTACAGTCTGGTTATACACAATGTTCTGCAAAGGCCATTTATACCCATGGCAGAAATGTGGTGAAAGGAATCTTCCGGAAAGATGAGAACACCCGTCAAAGAATCCTTGCCTTTGTCCCAGCGGTATATAGAAATATTCGGGCATCACACTGAACGTGGTGGGAGAGAGGAATGGGAAATTCTGGGGGTTGAGGGAGAGTCTCCATTTCTTTGTGTCTTGAAACTTCAAAAGAATCTTCGTGTGATGCAGCCCAGGGTGGGAGTCGTCCCCAAATGGGGCAGATCTTTAAACACCAAATAGAGCTCTGAGTCTAGTGCAGGAAAGGTGTTGGTATTTGTAAACATGCTTAATATGAAAGAAAAACAGAATTTTATTTCTCCACAAAATGATGTCACCCTGAACAGAATCTATATCGAAGTTACCTAAGTTTGAGGAAGCAGTAATTATCAAAATGTACTTGGAAAGGGGCCAGTGGGATTATGGTTCAGCTCTCAAGACCCCTGGAAAAGGGCTGAGGCTATTATCCATTTGGGAAGTATCCCCAGTGGGAAAAAAAATCGAAAACAAAACATCTCCTGGTAGCAGCTGCCCTGATAATGATGACAGGGTTACTTGTGGCTCACCCTAGATTATTTCTCCTGCAGAGCCCAGCGTCCACCCTCAGTTACTCTCAAAGTGGATCAGAGAAGCCTTGACTTAAGGCTGAAAAGGCAACCACATCCCTAACACTTCCTTTTTTCACTGAATGGGCTCACAGTCTCCTCCATTTCCAATATAACACCTAAGTGAAAATCTGATACAGGAACAGATTTGTGGTTTCCTTGGGGACAACAGCACTGTCTCCATCAAGCTGCTTTAATTCATGGACAATCTGATCATTTTGATATGGACAAAGGTCCCCCACAGGGATGCTTTCACATTTGGCTTTTTCTGTCCAATGTCATGAACTGGTACTCCCTTCACCGTCTCACACCCACAGCTATAGGCATCAGTGTTTGTAAAACTAAATCCAACCTTGTGAGTGAATCTGTGAATGAGCCCTGGGCTCCACCTCCCTTATTCTTTCTCTTTCTTGAATGATATCTGACTCTATGAATTCATCTGGAGATTGACAGAAATCCAATCAGGATTAATGTGAGAGTGTGGAATCCAATCAGTTATCGAGTTCTCTGATTGGAAGTTAGTAGCTGGAAAGAGAAAGATGTGATTATAAAGGTCTATAAAAACTCAGGCCCCACAGAAGAGATGCAGAATCTTCTGGCTCCAGAGTCGCTGACTGAACTCGCCACCAGGTCTGAGGTCTGAACACCCCGCCAACCACATCAGGGCTGGTAAGTTAACTATCTCAGTGAAGGACACTGTCATCTTACCTGTGGGTCTTAAATGATGGCATGCAGCTAGGATGGCAGAGAGATGGTCCTTTTTCTTTTCTTTTCTTTTCTTTTCTTTTCTTTTCTTTTCTTTCTTTTTTTTTTTTCCCCGGATGAACAGATTTAAGGCTTTGGGTTTGCCTCTAAGTGTATTTTTGCCCTAATCCTAACCATTTTGATTAGTGGTTTTGGTTTATACCATTTTTAAATGTCTTAACCAAGCAGATATTCTTTTTAATAAAAAACATCTAACTGTTTGGAGTTTTATTTCTTGATATTTCAAGTATTTCGTTTGTGCGCAAATGGCATTCCTTTTAAGGTATCTTCTTCACCTTTACTTGCTTACTTCTTAATCTTTAACTGTGTTAACCAAGGATGTATACTGTGTTGGTCCACGTGATGCTCCTATTCCCATAGTTCTAAAGCTCTAAGTGAGGGTCTGAGAGTCTCCGCCCCAAGAAGGTTGTAGTCAGCTTTCAGGCTTCTTGTACTTACTTCCCGGGGGGACATGAATTAAGCAGAGCAGTGAATTTAGATGAATGGGCTGGTGGCTGCCTTTCCTCCTCCCCAGCACTTGTGAGATGCTTCTTCTGGCGCCAGTAGACAAAGAGACGTAGACATGTGCCCACTGAGCCTAGTGCGGAATTGGGGCAAACGGAGGTTTTCCGCACCTGCCAGAGTAGTGGCTTTAGTCCTGAGTAGGTTCCTCCGAAGGGTGGGGAGACAGATGAAGGTGTGCTTATTCCTGGCTTGAAATGGATGCCTTGTTCCCTGGCAGTATCCACAGGATTCCTTTAGGAGCACAGTCAGGATGAGTGCCTGGACCCCACCCCGACTCCTGGACCTGGCGGGAACCAGCCTGCTGAGGGACAGCGAGGCCTCGGCCGTCACTGCTCTGGAGTACCTGCCCACCGAGCTCTTCCCGCCTCTGTTCCTGGAGGCATTCTTTGGGAGACGCATTGAGACCCTGAAGGCCCTGGTGCAAGCCTGGCCCTTTGTCCGCCTGCCTCTGGGGGGCCTGATAAAGATGCCTCATGTGGGGCCATTACAAGCCGTGCTGGATGGGCTCGATGTCCTGCTGGCCCAGAAAGTTCACCCCAGGTGAGTCTGATCTAGGTCGCCTGATATGGTCCTGCGCGTCCCTGAGGAGACAGCTGGGGTGAGGGGAAGTGAGTGGCCAAGGGAGGGACCAGAGGCTCTGATGATGCCAATGAAGAACTCAGAGGCCTTGGCCACTGCTGAGCTCGCTTTGGGAAACGCCTTCCGGAAGTGAAGGAGCGTCTAAGCGCAGGGTCACCTGAAAGAACACGTCTCCACCTCCTCCTAGTGATGCTTAAGTTTACTAGAAGTGGAGAACCAGGAAAGACGGAAGGGGAGAGTGAGATGGAGGCAGGTGAGGAAGGGAGGGAAGAAGAGGGCAAGGCAGCAGGTGGTGTCAGGAATGTGAAATAAGAGCACAGGCGGGAAGTCTGAGTGTTGCCTGAATTCTGAGACTGTGGTTTCATTACGTGTGGTTCTTTTTTTTTTCTTCTTCTATTGAAGTACAGTCAGTTACAATGTGTCCATTTCTGGTGCACAGCACAATGTCCCAGTCATGCATATACATATGTATATTCATTTTCATATTTTGTGTGGTTCTTAACGCATCCCACCCAATCTGCTGTTTCCTGACAGGAGGTGCAAACTGCGGATCTTGGATTTAAGGAATACTGGCCAGGGCTTCTGGAGAATGTGGTCTGGAGCCAGGCACCACGTATCCTCAAGCTTACACATGACATCACTGGCTGAGGACAGTTCAAGGACAGAGCAGTCCTTGGCTCCCTTGGAGGTGTTCATAGAACTTTGCCTCAAGAAAAGGACCCTGGATGGATTCCACACCTACCTCTTCAGATGGGTGGAGCAGAGGAAAGTCTCCATACACCTGTGCTGTAAGAAGCTGCAGATATTTTCAATGCCCATGAAAAATATTAAGAAGGTCCTGAGTCGAGTGCAGCTGGACTGTATCCAGGAGGTGCAAGTGAATTGCATATGGCATCTGTCCACCCTGGCCAGGTTCGCTCCTCTGCTGGGCCAGATGACTAGTGTGCAGAGACTCCTCCTCTCCCACATCGATGTGTCTGCCTTCGAGGAGCAGCAGCAGCAGCAACTTGTTCAATTTATCTCTCAGATCCTCGGGCTGCACCACCTCCGGGTTCTCCATATGGAATCTCCCACCTTTCTTGAAGGCCGCCTGGACCAGATGCTCAGGTGAGGGCGACACCACTGGCCGTGTGACAGTGAACACAACACTAGACCCTCAAATGCACTGTCTCCTTTGCTGCTCCATCCTGAGGTGTGGCATCACCTAACAACACAGATCAAATTAGAAAGACAAACTGGGGTAGAGGCTGTGGAAAGGGACACCATGCTTGGAAGGTATAGATTGAGGAGTTCAGATCTACCAATGGAGGTTTTGTGATTTCTTCCTTAGGATGAAATACCTATGAACAGGTGACTTAAAAATACAGATAAGTAAAGTACTGAAAAGGGGCAACCACCTCATGCATGAGGATTTCTAAAGAGCTCTGTGCTCACCAAATTTGGGACCAAAATGAGCCTGTCTTAAAGTCCCTGTCTGTGATGGATTGTTTTTTTGCTCCAGGTAAACATATCAGAAATGTATGATTCTGGAGATGATAGTAATGGAGCTGAAGCTAAAGGGATAATAAAAGGTGGTAGATGGTTTTTAGATGATGCAGGGATGTAGGTGAGCCCCTGCAGACTGGCAACCCCAGCTGATGTGATTGGTCCTCTGTGCATGTCTCTCAGGAGCCTCACCTGACCAGAGATTTGGGGATCTGGATCATAAGCATGGGATGGAGGAAGCCTGACTTGAAAGCATTTTATGTGTTTTCTCCTAACATTAAAATTCAATGATGCCCACGCGTGATTAAAATACAATGTTAAACTCTCCTCTGAGCATGTTTTAGTGCATACCATAGTCTCCATTCATCCTCATAGCAAGTGGAGTATGTTGTACTCACTTGACAGATGAGGAAACAGAATTCTCAAGATTTTGTGAATGTGACCCAGTCACACAGGGAAGGTGAAAAGTCTCAGCCTAAAATGACACTGGACATCCTGTGTATTGACCTTCCTCAAATGGTCTCAACGACCTTGGCCTTGGCCAAAATGTATGTCTCTCATTTTGAGGTCACCTTCCACCCTTGTTTCCCAGACCGAATTTCTCAGTTTCTCCCCAGGGGCCTGACAAACTGCTTGGACAATCTCTCAATAACTAACTGCCTGCTAACAGAATCGGACTTGACCCGCCTGTGCCAGTGCCCGAATGTCAGTCAGCTAAAGGGCCTGGATCTAGGTGGGGTCACCCTGACTGACTTCAGCCCTGAGCTGCTCCAAGTTCTGCTGGAGAAAGTTGCAGCCACCCTGCAGGAACTGGACTTAAATCAGTGTGGGATCACGGACTCCCAGCTCGAGGCCATCCTGCCCGCCCTGAGCCGCTGCTTGCAGCTTAAATGCTTCATTCTGTACGGAAACCTCCTCTCCATGGCTGTCTTGGAGAAGCTGCTGCGACACACCTCTGGGCTGCCCAGTTTAAACATAGAGCTTTATCCTGCCCCTCGGGAGAGTTACAGCTCTCAGGGAGTGCCCCTTGAAGGGAGGTTTGCCCAGCTTCGAGTGGAGTTTTTGAAGGTTCTGCGAGATCTGGGACATTCCAGGACCATCGGTATTTTCCTGAGCCCCTGCCCTTACTGTGGCGATGACATATGTGATGACATGGAGCCCATTGTATACCACTGGAATACCCCTGCCTAGCTGGCTGCCTCTATCAAAAGTCTTCCTCTGGGCACTTGGAATCTGAAATCTAGAACATAGGTATATCATGAAGGGAAAGCAGACCCATGGTTTCAGACATCCGTTTAATGTGAATGTGGAGACGAAATGTGATCCAGCGGGGGAACAAGAATGCAGAGGGAAAAGTTGACCCTGAGAAGTGATGGTACTTTGGGGGACATGTGTCCTGTAGAGTCAGAAATATGAACCTAAATTTCTGCAGTTGGATACAGGCTTAAGATGGACATATTGGAGTTACCCCTCGGTGGATGATTGTAAAGAAATGGTCAGAAATAAAGTGACTCTCAACTGTAAACTGACTGTTGCCTCCATGATAGATTAGCCTGTTTTCTCAGTTTAAACCTCCAGTTACTAATGAGGAAAAAAAAAAAAAAGGCACTGAGTTGTCTACAATCTAATCTGAAACCACTAGTTCAGATCTTATATAATATTGTACATCAACTGTAATTCAGCTTAAAAATATGATATTGTAAAATAAATACATAAATAAAGTTTAAAAAAAGAAGACTGAAAAAGGAAATCAAAGAGGCAGGTCGCTTAACATGTAAAAGAGAGAAACAAATATTTGCACTTCTGGTTATATAACTTTCTCACCAGTAGAGAAAGCATTAATCACATCATGAAAAGCTTCCAAAAGACCCCCTCTTCTTTCCAAGCCCTCCCTGCTCAGCCTCAGGGGCTTTCCTCCTGTTCTCAAGCTGGCCCAGCCCTTGACTGCGTCAGGATTTGCACAGTCCACCTAGTGTCTCGACACAATCCCCTCAGCTGGCTTGTTCGCTTGAACAAGCTCTAGTCAGTCTCCTGAACCTTCTGCTAAGCCCATCTGTGTACATCCTTGTAAAATCCCGTTTTAGCAAGAACCCTGATTGGTCCACTTTACAAGAATCCCCACCACTGATACCTGATATTCCCCGATATTTGATCAGAATTCCTCACTCCCCATTGTTGGTATCTGATCACGCTGGGATGCCTTCTGCAGGAATCCTGTTACGTTGGCTCAGTCAGAACTGCCCCCAGACCCGATGTCTCCTCTTAGTAATTTTCCAGCCACCAGCCTCCCCTTGCTTCTTGGTTGCGAATGCCCAAATATCCTTGTACTGTGAATGGAGTCTGGTTTCATACTGGGGTACCTATTCCTCTACTGCAATAGCCCTGAATAAAATTTGCCTTCACCACTTAAACCTATGTCTGTCTCTAGCTTCCTTTGACACACCTCCCACAGCCGATTACAGAACAGACAAGGAAGCCCCTTCCCAGTAACCCCCAAATTCCCAAACACCCCAGAGACTCCCAGCTTGGAGTCTACCCACCTGTGCACCTTTCCGTATCAGCACTCGGATTTTCTTCAAGAATTAGTTACAACTTGCCACTTTAAGACAATGGTCTTTTGAGAGCTCATAGGAGCTGGGATCCTGTAGAGATAACCCCAGTCTAGACTCTGCAGTTTCTTCATTTCCATTAACATCATGCAAAGTCTCTCAGTCATGCCTTTCCAGCATTTACTTTGTCTGACAATTCAAGGGTCCTTCTGAGCCCCTCACCTAAGGGAATATGCCAACTATTCACTGCACAGAAGTGGGCAGAGACCGGGTCCACCAGGCTAAAAATAGGGGGAATAACAGTGACCGCTAGATTTTCCATGAGGTTTATCTGAAATAGTGGATAAAAAGTGCCCACACCACTGCTCACACAGTTTGTGTTCAGTGAACACAGATGTACGCCCATCACTGTTAGTCATCTCACCCTGTTGCAGGTAATGGATGTCCTGGGAGTTAAAAAGTCTATTGAGTGCAATTCAGTTTAACCCAATTTATGTAAAAGCAATTTATACCCATGGTGGAAATGCATTGAAAGGAATCCTCTGGAAAGATACAAAGATGGAGAACACCCTGCAAAGAATCCTAGCCTTGGCAGCCAGTGGTCTATGAGAATTCACTGGGCACCATATTGAACGGGGTTGGGTGGAGAAAGGCATGGGAAATTCTGGGGGTGGAAGGTGGTATTTGTGAACAGTGCTTAATACGAAGGGAAAAAACACAGTTTTATTTCTGTGCCTGACGGCGTCACCTTGATCAGAAACTGTCGAACTTACCCAAGTCTGGGGAAACACTAATTACCAAGATGTGCTTGGAAAGGGGCCACTGGAATTATGATTTGGCTTCTAAGACCCGTGGTAAACGGCTGGACTAATCGACATCTAGAAAGTGTCCTCTATGGGGAGGAACCTATACGAGAACAGCTCCTGGTAGCGGCTGCCCCGACGATGACAGGGTTGTTTGTGATTAACCCACGTTTATTTCTCCCTCTGGCTCCAAGTTCCCAAAGAGCCCACAGCACCCCCCTCAGTGGCCCTCAGACTTGGAAATGGCTCACTTCTCTGGGCTGGTCACCTCTCCCTCTGTTCACATTAGCAGATTTAGTCTTTTCATGCCGGTTTGTTGTGCTGATCCCAACCTTCTGGGAGGAAAACCCTCAAAGACGACACTGTCTCCTCTTAGCTGTTCCCTTTTAGTTTCCAAACGCAATCCAGGGGATAGTCTTTAAATCACCCTCCTCCCAAGAGGAAAAAACCCTATATTTTACAGGGGGTCATTCACAGGGACTCTTCAGGAATGCCCAGCTCTGCACTCCCCAGCCTCCATCCTTACTTCTCATTGTGATTTTGACCTGATACCCTTCAGAGCAGGCTTGACTTAAGCTTGGAGAACCAACTGCATTCCCCAAAGCATCTCCCTTGCTCCTTGAATAGGCTCATGATCTCATGTTTCGAACATAGTTTCTAACTGACAAGTTGATACAAGGACCCATTTATTTTGCTTCTTTTGGGAATAATACTTCTGTCTTCATGAAGCTCTTTTAATTCTGGGACATTTTGATAATTTTCATATGGTCAAAGATCCCTCAACAATGATGCCCTAAAGTTTTGTTTCTTCCTGCCCAGTATCACAAATGGATTATCCTTTCCCTGTCTCACACCATGGCTCTAATTATTGGTGTTGATAAAAACTCAATCAATGTTTGTGGCGTGAATCAATGAATAAATCTTTGGGGAAGAGCCCAAAGGAGAGTATCTCCTGGCAGGAGCTGCCCCAATGATGACAGAGCCCCATCGACCTCTCTCATCGGTTCTCTCTCCTGAACGAATATCTGATTCAATCAGTTCCACTCCAGGCACACAAGGATCGAATCAGGATTAACCTGATGGACAGGCCAGAATCTAATTTCTGATTGGATGTTAGTAGTTGGAAAGAGAGAAGATGTGATTAGAGAGATCTGCAAATGTACCAAAGAAGAGATGCAGAATTTCCTGGCCCTGGAGTCACCTTCTGGGTTCTCCCCCAGGTCTGAGGACTGAGCACCGTGCCAACAATATCAGACCTGGTAAGTTAATGATCTTGGCTAAGGACACCCTCATCTTACCCATGGTCAGCTGGTCCTAAACGGTGGCATGCAGCTCAGGATGAAAGGGAGCATTTTTAATTATTTCTTTTCAGATGAACTGATTCAAGGTTTTGGTTTCACCCCTAAGTGTAATTTTGCCTTAATGAAAAAGTTTGATTTGTAAATGGTTTGTATCATTCTAAAATGTAGTGACCAAAGAGATAATTCTTTTTAATGAAGAACATCTGTTTAGCATTTTATTTCTTGACATTTAAAATACTTAGTTTGTGCAAATGGCATTCATTTTGGGGTATCTCCTTCCTCTTTCCCAGCCAGGTGAACTGTGTTAACTGAGGATGGAGGCTGTGCTGGTCCACACGATGCTCCTCTTCCCAGAGTGACTGAAAGTCTTCCCCTTAAAAAGGTTGAGGACAGTGTTCAGGCGCATGGTACACAATTACCAGCGGGGCAAGAATTAAGCAAAGCAGTGGGTGCAAATGGATGAGCTAGTGCTGCCTTTCCTCCTTCTTGGCGCCTGTGAGATGCTTGTTCTGATGCCTGCAGGGGCGGAGTTATGGCTTTGTGCCCACTGAGCCTAGAGATAAACCTACTCCCTGGGTTGTGCAAATGGAGTTGGAACAGCAGTGCAGTTGGATTCTGAATGGGCCTAAACGCATCTCCAAGGTCTCCCATCAGGCCAGCACCCGTGTCTGTGCAAAAGAGGACACTTGTCTGGGTCTGGGTCGGGTATCAAGGAACTTCCCGGGTCCTGGACTCTGAGTCACCTCCTTCCTGTAGGCATGTTCATTCCATGGGCAGAGGGCGGGTGTGAGGGGCTCCTGGAGGGAGGAGGGACAGGAAGAGGGGATGGGAGTTTGGGGCTCAGACGGCTCTGAAGACAGTGTTGAGCATCCCATCCCACCCCCACGTGTTCACTTTTCCCAGGTCTGAAGGACTGTATCTGAGAACAGGGGTGCGGAGAGTTCCGAGGTGGCCTGAGTGACTGTGCACAGTGAGAACCAGAGGTGCCAGTTACAGAGATGGGGACTTGGGCTTCTTGTCAGAAGTTCAGGGGACGTCGTTTACTTTCCAAGACCCCTGTGATTTTTATTGCTGGTGCTCCAGGAAGCAGTGCGTGTCCCAAGCACTAAGCCCAATAAACAAATGGCAGTGCAGGTGACCAGTTCAGGCCCTGTGAGTCTGGCTGTGTGGTTCTAGGTTGGAACTAAGGGATGAAACTGAGTCTCTTGGGTCCCGCCATGGAGAGGCCTTCAGGGGGAGCTACCCCTGTATCCCAGACCCCAAGTATCATCCAGGTTGGCCCCATCCTACAAAAAACACACTTCAAGGGGGAAGGTATAGCTCAAGTGGCAGAGCGCGTGCTTCGCATGCACGAGGTCTTGGGTTCAATCCCCAGTACCTCCTCTAAAGAATCAATAAACCTAATCACCCCCCCCCGGCCAAAAATAAATAAATAAAACAATACAATGACATATAAATGAATAAAATTTAAAACAAAACAAAACAAAAACCACTCTTCAGGTTTACCTGCATCCTTTATTTCTCTACACTCTACTTAT